ACTCGCCCCAAAAGATTACTATTCTATAAACTAAAGGTGGGATTCATATGTGGCAGGAGCTTTTTCAACCCTGATTTTTAAATTTTATGTATCAGTGGTTATAAGCAAGTGACCTTTAGGCCAAATCTGGCCTGCGTGTGTGCTTGGTTTCATCAGCGCAGCATTTGACAAAAATTGAGTTTGAATGTCTTGAGGCAGGCATTCTCTGGTTATCTTCGTTTTCATTTTCCCTGTCTCTTCCCCGAGGCTCTTCTACCATTTGCATTATCTGCTTGATTCCTGAAGGCATTTGAGATTGCAAGCCCTGATCTGCACTGATGTGATGTGTTTTGTAAGTAAACTTTTCATTAAATAAACTGCATAGAGAAAAGTGCACAAGATCATAAGCATATAATTTGGTGAATTATTACAAGGGGAACATGCCCATAGAATTACAAGAAAGGTCATATACAATATGACCTTCTAAAGCTAGTATTAATACTTCTAAAGCTAGTATTATTGGAGTTCCCTTCGAAGTAAATGCTAAGACACAGATTAGGCTAGAAGGGATCCCAACAAGCACAGTGAACACACACATTTTTGGTGAAAGTATATAACTGCATTGGCCTCTTCAATTTGTGTCTTCTTGTTTTATTATTTTATTTGTCACTTTACTATTCTTGAGCTTTCCTTATAATTTTAACCTATGTCATATTTAAGGTATACATTTTCTGTAAGTAGGATAAAGTAGGGAATTTTAAAATCTACTCTGACAATATTGTTATTTTTATTGCAATCTTTAGTCTATTTATAATTAATGCAATTACTAATATATTTGAGGTTAAATGTGCCTGTCTATTTGTTTCACCTATTCAAATAATTCTAGTATTTTTTCTCTTTTAACTTCTTCAGATTAATTAAATATAATACATATGTATTACAGTTGGCCCTTTGTATCTGTGGGTTTCACAAGCATGGATTCAACCAATTGTGAATAAAAATTATTAAAATAGGGTTGGGCAGGGTGGCTCACACTTGTAATTCTAGCCGAGGAGGGTGGAATGCCTGCGCTCATAGGTTTGAGACCAGCCTGAGTCAGAGTGAGACTCCATCTCTAAAAATAGCCAGGCATTGTAGTGGGAACCTATAGTCCCAGCTATTCAGGAGGCTGAGGCAAGAGAATTGCTTGAGCCCAAGAGTTTGAGGTTGCTGTGAGCTATGATGCCATAGCATTCTACCAAGGGTGACAAAGTGAGACTCTGTCTTAAAAAAAAAAATTATTAAAATTTATTAAATGTCAATTTATATATTAAAATACAGAAATGCAGATTAAAGAACAATACAGTGTAACAACTCTTTACAAATCATTTACATTGTACTGGGTATTATAAGTAATCTAGAGATGTTTTAAAGTATACAGGAGAATGTGCACGGTTATATGCAAATACTATGCCATTTTATATAATGGCTTTGAGCATTGTCAGATTTTTGTATTAAGGAGTGTTCTTGAATCAATTCTCCATGGATATTATGCTACACTGTTTATATAAATTTTTATTTAAATTTTTATTCATTTGCATATTTAAAACATCCTTTTTACGTCTCTTTTAGCTTGCTAGTACCATAATTTTTCATAATTTGGGGGGATTATTCTAGAGATTTCAATACACCTCTTTGACATTAAAATCTAATAGATGTTAGACTTAAAATCTTGAACTCCCCAAATCTATTTATTTTGTTCTATTACTTTCTTGTGTATTTTTTCTTTTTGTTTTACGTTTTTGTTTTAATAAAAAATGTCCAGCCAGGCACCGTGGCTCATGCCTATAATCCTAGCACTCTGGGAGGCCAAGGTGAGTTTATTGCCTGAGCTTAAGAGTTGGCAACCAGTCTGAGCAAAAGCATGACCCTTACTCTAAAAATAGCTGGGCATTGTGGTAGGCACCTGTAGTCCTAGAGGTTGCTGTGAGCTGTAATGCTATGGCACTCCATCAAGGGCGACAAAGTGAGACTCTGTCGCTAAGAAAAAAGAAAAGATTCTTGTCATAACATAATAAACATTTAAAAGGGAGAGAAGGTAGGATAGTGTAGATAAGACATAAGCTGGAGTGAGGCAGTACTGAGAAATTCCTGGTGGAATGTTTCCATGAATATGGAATCATAAATTTTAAGACATATGTTTGTTTTTCTACCAAATAATATCTTTATGCTGCTTGAAATATTCAGAAAAGCCTTTTCAACATAAAGTCATGTTTCTGCTGATCATTTTGAACAACATAAAGAAAAAGAGGGTTGAGTGCCTTGACAATAACAAAAGATAAACAAGGGAAGATGAGATGCCCATGAGAAACCGCAGTTTAGCGGAAGCAGGAATCAAAAATAATAAGTAAGAATATAAGGCCCAGAAAATTTGAAGAAATCTTGAGGAGGACATAGACATATGGTAGAGGACTCAAATTTATATTAATCTCAAAGAACAGGGTCCCTGAGTTAAAGTCTGAGTAACTTTTACTTACATACTCTCACCTCCCTTATTAAAAGATTTACAGTCATGGTGAAATGTGTATAAAAGAAATTTTAATACATAAGAAGTTCAATTTCAGATCCTTTAACTTCAATTCTAGACTTTTGGTAATACTTTTCTTATTCAGGAGTCTTCTTTACTTAAAATGTTTCTGATCTGACTCTGAGAATTTTCAAAAGGCATCAATAAATAGGGACAAAGTTCTCATTAGTGAGAACTTAAGCCCAGGTCAAAACAGCAGACTATGAATTAAAATGGAACATACAACTTTTGTCTTTGATAATAGATGGCAAAATTTCAATTATTCATTTATTGATTTTTTGTGACAAAACTTTAAATTCTAAGCTCATATCCTTGCCTGCTCTAAATCCTTACACTCTAGAAGAATACAATGGTTCTATAGAATGTGGGTTACAGCACTATGATCAAAGACACATACTAAAGGGAAGCTCTGACACCTTCATCCAAAGATTTTGCATCTGAGCATTTGCTGGATAATCCTAATTACCCTCTACTCTTACCTTTACTCTTATCATAGGAGTAACAAATGGGACTCCTGCCTGTAGGAAAGATTAAAGGAGTCTTTCCCCATCACAAGTTCTACCTCTGCAACTCAGGCTCCTCTTACTTTCTCCGTATTTTTCAACGGTGCCTTTGATTTTTACCCTGGACTCTGCAGCCCAGCTCACGCAGATGGGCTTGCTTCAGTTAGAGAGAAAAGGGGGGGGATTTCAGGTTACTGTGAATTAAAATAAAATTGTAAGCATCTGCAGCTGACTGAATGAATTCTCTCTTGACCAAAATAACCCAAGAAAAATCTTAATGGAGAAGGGAGGTCAGACCCATTGTGCCAACTCCCTGCTCTGTTACTCTTCCTAATACGATACTAAATTCTTAACAGACCTAAGGCCACGCAAGGCAAAGAAAGCTTTTAAATCACACCTACAGGCCATCTGTTTATTGCGGATCACTTGAGTTTTGGTAAAAGTCCCCATGGCTTATCTCTGATTGACAGATATCCTTATCGTAACTTAAAATATTTCAAGCCTTTAGACATAGCTGTATTTTTCCCATTTATGTGCTAACCAGGCCTGACCTTGTTTAGCTTCTGAGATCAGATGAGATTGGACACATTCAGGGTGGTATGGCCATAGACAAACCTGCATTTCTTTAACCAAATATAAATCAAAGAATCTTTAAACCCACCTATAACCTCCCAAGGTCCAACTTTGAGATGTCTCACTTTTTCAGGCCAAACCAATGAACATATATGGACTTATGTGTTTACATGTGATTCCTGTTTCCATGAATGTATAAAGCCAAACTGTATCCACCACTATGGGCATCTCAGAATCTCCTGAAAACATGTTCTCTGATCTGTCAGTCACACATACTCAGCTCAGAATAAACCTCTTTAAATTATTTCACAAAGTTTTTTTTTTCCCATTATCATTACCAACAATGTATGACTAAGTATGTAAGCTACAATGTCATGTTTTTTCATATTTTGGCTCAAGACTAAATTCTTAGGAAAGCCACTGCCGTTACTGCAACTGAGATAATGGTACAAGTTGAAATGTATCAAACATCCCTTCCTGAAAATTGTCTATCATCACTCATAGTTAGCACTAAACGCTTTTATATATTTTTTCATTTTTCCAATGATCTGATCCAAATTAAACTAATATTACAGCCATCTTGCTCCCAAAGCTCAGGACTCCAAGCCTATCTTACGCAGAACCCTCTGTGAATCCCATTTGCCCACTTGCTTCTCTGCCCTGTGGACTAGGACTCTCTCCTGGTTGTATTGTCATTTCCCATGAACTCTGCCTATTTGCCCTCTACCCTTCCCTTTGGGGGTCTTCCTTTCACAGATTATTTTCTTCTTTGAAAATGTTTTCCTCATTTTCCCCCCCTCTGGGTATATTGGGCTCATAGTCCTCCTGAAATGGGCATTTCCAAAGCCCACATTCAAGCATCTTCATGCTAGAGATTGCCTTATTTCATTATACTACCCCCAACAGGCATGTTACATATTATTTGCATTTCAAAAGCAATGTTTACAGGCTTTAATCTACAAAGTATTTGAGATTTCACATTTATTATTGAATAGAGATAGTTCTGGTACACTTTCTGAGATTTATTTCTTAAACTCATAATATGGGATGGTATGTTAATATCACCTTAGCGAACTATGGAGGCTGCTGTGTATAAAAGAGTGAAACCATATAGAACCAGTTGGTAGCACTGATAATGGCATTTCTATTAGTGAAGCGAGTTATTATATAAGGGAATCTTGCAGACATTTAGATGTGTTACGTATGTTAGGGGAAATATTCAAACGTGGTTTTTTTAAAATCTCTATAGAAGTGATTCCCACATTTTCTGATGTCTCTGGACTGCCTGTGTTACATTTCTATTGGTAAAATAATTAAGAGCAGGAAGGCACAGGGAATTGCAGGCAGCTTCCTTCTCTTTCACCTGCCCAGTGACCCACCTGTGATGGCCAGCTGAGTTACAAAGAAGGTCATTCTTGACTTCCTCTTCCTTCTGCACGTGGAGAACAGCACAATAGAGTTTCCAACAATGGTGAAAACAAAGAGGACCCACAGAGTTATCAATTGCTCAGTCTGTAAGAAAAAAAAAAGCAGCATAAAACTGATGCACCTGTTTCTCAAGAAAACAATGACAAAATGGTCATCATTTACACCAGCAGAAAAGTAAATTGATGCACCTTTTTTAAAAAAAAGCTATTCGGAAATACACTCAGGAGACTAAATACAAAATGTTCTTTTTAAAAAACAAATAATTTTAACTGTATGTGAGTTCGTGGTGTGAAATGTATTAACATCACAAAGATATGAGAAAGAAATTAGAGATTGAATAAGAAATTAGAAATTGTTTAAAGATAACAGGACAGTTAAGCAAATAAGCATTTTAATTTTAAAAGAAAATTCTTTTAAAAGCAAATAAGCATTTTAATTTTAAAAGAAAATTCTTTTCTTGAATAAGAAATTGTTTAAAGAAAACAGGACAGTTAAGCAAATAAGCATTTTAACTCAGTGCACTATTACATAGCTATTAATGATGGTGGTCATAAAGACGATGTGGGGGCCCCTTGAAGATGGTCTGAGATAGGGAAGCCTCCTTCTGCCACTTGAAGCCTCAGAAAGGAATCCTTTTGCTCATTGCTCCTTCACTCGACAGGCGAGATTTCAACCTAAATTGTAATGGACCTCCTCTGACAACACACTTCGACTCCACACTTTCTGATAAGGTAGAAGAGACCTTATGGGGTTGGTGCTGGACTCTGGAATATGGGCAACACCTGCTACATGAATGCTATTCTATAATGTCTGACATACACACTGCCCCTTGTCAACTGTATGCTGTCCCCGCAGCATTCTCTGTCATTGTCAGAAATGCTGCATATTGTGTGTTATATAGGCTTGTATCACATGGGCACTGCACCATCCTGGCTGTGTTTTCAAGCCCTTGCATGCACTGGATGCTGGCTTCCACAGACACAGCTGGAAGATGCCCACGAGTTTCTGATGTTCACTGTGGATGCCATGAAGAAAGTGTGTCTGCCTAGCCACAAGCAGTTACATAGTCATTCTGAGGACACGACTTCGGTCTCAAATCAAGTGTCTGCACTGCCATGGTGTTTCAGACATCTTTGACCATTACTTGGATATTTCCCTAGACATCCAGGCAGCTTGGAGTGTGATGCAAGCTCTGGAGGAGTTGGTGAAGCCTAAGCATTTGGAAGGACAGAATGCCTATTATTGCAGCAGTCTAAGAAAGGTACCTGCTTCCAAGTCCGTGAATTTGCACACTTTACCCAAGGTCTTGACCCTTGTGTTGAAAAGGTTATCACATTTCATAGGCAACAAAATTGCAAATGAAGCGCATTATCCTGAGTGTCTTGACGTGCAACCATACATGCCTCAGCAGGATGGAGGACCCCTCCTGTACATCCCCTGTACTGTGCTGGTCCATACGGGGAGCAGTTGTCAAAGAGAACATTACTTCTGCTATGTAAAAGCTGATAATGGCCAGTGGTATAAAATGGATGATGCTGAGGTGACTGCCTGTGACGTTTTTTCTGTCCTGCGTCAACCTGCCTATGTCTTCTTCTACATCCAGAAGAGTGACTTGGAAAGAGATAGTGGGCCTGGATCAATAAGTGAGGAACCCAGAGCCCATGGGACTAAAGACACAGATGTGGCAAGGCAAGGGTGCCTCAAAGTGATGCCTGCCTCAGTGTTCCTAAGCTGAAGGTTAATTTGGGGAAAACAACAAGTAGAGAACTCTCCTTAGATGAGTGGAAATCCATGCAGGAAGCAAACCGACCAAAGGCTGAATTCAACATCAGAAACAGAGTGCACCCTGCCTTCCATTGCAGTCATAATTCATCAGGCAAAATACAAGACTTAATTCTGAACAGGACAACAAAGTGAGAAGCAAACCATCCAGGAATGTAACAGATCAGGTATACCTCAACACTGGCAAAGTCCCTTCTCTAGGAGGAAGGGCCAGAGGTACCAAGAGTGGGAGCAAGCCAGGTACAAGGTGTCTGGTTGTGTTGGTCAAATTTACCTTGTGGTTAATGTGGGGTTTGCACAGAATCAGTGTGAGAATGCAGAGTGTTCACTCATCTCACCTGATTTTGGTCAGACTTGGGATTTTGATGCAGAGAGTATTTGGATACACAAACTTTGGGGACTATAGAGAATCTAAGTGAAAGTTGTTTGGAAATTGAGGATGGCAGGCTCTTTGCCTTGATGATGGAAGTTTTATGAAAATGCAAAGACTTTGGCAACAACTCCTTCCTACACTTTTGACTACTTATTATTCATGTATTTAAAAGTTGTTGTGACTGCCAGCACAGTCTATTGTTAGTACTTTAGCTGTCACTTTTCCTTAAGAAGCACAAATATAAGGAATTGCAGAATCCTACCTTTATCTGGGGGTTAGGCTTGCCTTTGGGTGTCTGTCCCACCATTTCAATCAATGACCCAAATCTGCCCCTTCCCATCCCTTTAGTGTGAAGACTCAGCTAACAATTCATTTCTGGACAGTAAGGTCAAATTTTCATTTCTTTATTCTCCTGATGTTATTTTTCATAGGTATCTTTGTTTTTGTATAATTCTGTATATGTGTGCTAGCAGCATACTGGATAGGGCATGTGGAGGTGATCTTGTCATAGGTCTCCAAGAGTTATAATCCTATGCAAGAGAATATCTGATAAAGTCTGACAAATATTCCCGAACTTCCCATGAGAATATGATCCTATCAAATTGCCTTAAAAATAGATTTATTCATCTATATTCCCTACAACCATGTGTAAAACTGCTTTTTTCAACTTAATTAACAAAGATGATAAGAATAACTGTCATGATATTTAATTTGATGGAGAAAATGTATGAGGTTGATATTCTAAACTATTTTTCTCTTGACTCTGGCCAAATTTGAGTTGCTTTTCATAATATGTCACCATTTGTATTTTTTTTTTTTTTTTGCCTGCCAAATTTAGATCTATGTGACCTGTATCATTTTATTTGGTGGGTTTCCTCTTTCAATTATTGTTCAAGAAACTCTATTTGTTATTATATTTGGGAGTCTTTTCCAGCAGCATGCTCCTAGGTTACATTATTTCCACACAAATAAGGTAAATTCTTTTGGTGACCTTTTCTGACTTATGAAGACACCGCCACGATATCCATGTGCCCTGCACTGTCTCCCATGAAAAGACCTGAGCTGAAGTCTTGTTCAAGCTCCTATACAAAATAAGAGACTGAAAGTGTCTACCCTAGCTGCCCCCTGGCCCATACCCAAGTTGTGAAGCTGACAGACAATGGAGCTCATGGTTGTTCCCTGAAATGCCTTAGGTGGCCTTGAGACACATGACTTGGGCAAGGTCGTTAGCCCCCAAATGGAACCAGGACTCTAAAGTAATCCTCAGAGTGGAAACCCAGAGATTTGTCCAAACCTATATCCACATTTGTCATAATTCATAAATACACTGATGTTCATTCCTTCCTCACCTGCAATAAAAACAGATATGGTCTTCACTCAGTACAAATGGATTTGGACCCAAGAGTTATCGCAAGAGACCAGGAGGAAACTTACCAAGTAAGCCAGAATTGACCTGCTGCTTCCACACCAGAGTCCTGTCCTGGACCCTCTCCAGGCCTGAATTGAGCCCCATCTGCCATCACTCAGCCATGCTCTAGCCCCACAGGATGGCCTTCAGGAGACTTAACAATGGATAGTGGAATTCCAGGCTCATGATGGCTCCATTCTCCCTCCCTCCTGAGAAGCCAGGCCCTCCTGCCCAGAGCCATCCCATCCTAGAGAATTGTAAAGGTCACAGTGCCCATGTCCCACTGAGTATTGTCTATGAGGACCTTTGGGTTTCTTCCTCCTCTGAAGACAGTGACTCTGAGTGAGACACCAGGTGGGAAGGAGACTAAAGACAAGCTGAGGAGGGGAACATGGAGGGAGCAATCTGCAACTGGTGAATCACCTTCTCCAAATTGTGGTCATGGTAGAACCATACAGACAATGCAGGGAAAGACACACAGACTTTCCTACTGACGTGTAAACTCAAATTATGTATAAAATGAAACTTATCAAATTAGCAAGTAAATCATTTCAAGTAAGTTACATTTATAATGAACTGAATAAAAACATGGGTAAAGTATTAATCTGTGATGTAAAAAGGAAGCTCTGGGCCAGTCAGGGTTGTTTATGCCTGTAATCCTAGCACTCTGGGAGGCCAAGGCAGGTGGATTGCTTCATCTCAGGAGTTCGAGACCAGTCTGAGCAAGAGTGAGACCCCATTCTACTAAAAGTGAAAAACCAAGGTGAGAGGATTACTTCAGCTCAAGAGTTTGTTTGATGTTGCTGTGAGCTAATAATGATGACACAGCACTCTACTAAGGGCAACAAAGTGAGCCTCTGTCTCAAAAAAAGGGAAGCTCTACAATTAATCATCTGTACTTGGTATGTAAATGACTAAATTTTGGGAGCTACAGTTTTTAAGTTGTATCTTGTTCTGAAATAAGATTTCCTAATCTATAGAATTGTTTCATTGAAAATAACCATGTGGAATAGTCTCTTGATGTGGTATATTTTATTATATAATTTTATTGTAAAAGAATCATTTCTTATTAAACACTCTAATGATTCATTATTAGACACAATCCTCAAAATGGATACATGTGAAGGTAATGAGAAACTTGTAGGGTCTAGAGCTCTATGGAAACACAGAATGGAAAAACAAAGCCCAGCTCCTGTACATATTAAAAAAGAGACTATGTAGGAATATTAAAACTACTTATAATGTGAATAAAAGTGAGTTCTCATCTCTACAAAAAATAGAAAAATTAGTCAGATATGGTAGCGAGCCCCTGTAGTCCTAGCTGTTTGTGAAGCTGAGGCAGGAGGATCACCTGAGCCCAAGCGTTACAGGTTGCAATGAGTGATGGTGATGAAATTGCACTCTACCTGGCTACCTGGGATAACAAAGTGAGATGCTATCTCAAAAAAGCAATAAAAAAATATTCAGTAAGAGGGAAAATATAAAATTATATATTGAGTATGATCACATCTCTGCAAATTT